ACTATAAAATATTTATATCGATAGGTGATGCGGATTTAGAACTATCAGATACGTCTGATGATAGTGATGATGAAGAGTCTGATCCTAATTCACCATCATACTCGAATGAACAATTAATTCACACATCTCTCTTGTTACCACAACCCAACGAACCTTTAGGAAATTGGGAAAGACATACACGCGGTATTGGTAGTAAAATAATGATGCAAATGGGTTATGTAGTTGGGTCTGGTCTTGGAAAACGGAGTGACGGTAGAATAGAACCTGTTAAAGCCACAGTTTTACCAGCAGGAAAATCATTAGGTTTGTTTCAGTTTTTTTTCAGTTACCACGTAATACGCTATATTAATTTGCTATATTTTTCAGATCATTGTATGGAACTACGTGAGTTTGCGGGCAATGATAAGGACTTGTTCTCTGCAGAACGTAAAATGCGCAAACAACAACAAAAATTAAAACAACAAAAAGAAAGGCAGTATCAAAGAGAAAAACAGAAAGAGGCTAGTAACGTGTTTAATTTTTTAAATAAACGTTAGGCGACAGAGGTAAGTTAAAAAAAGAATGTATTAATGAATTTATTAAATATAATTAATAAATATATATATATGCTTAAATATAATTAATATTTTGCAGCTAAAGATGACAATGAAGCTGGTAGTTCACGAAGTAGAGATAAATTTAAGACAGAATCTAATAGGAATCTAAATGTAGCCAGTTTTCAAATTGGTAAGGACATCAACCGATTAGAAAGAGAATCTTTGAAGCTCAAAGAATCATTAGCAAGACATGTTAAGGGTAGTGTACTGTATAATAGCATTGTAATGAAGTATAATGAAACACAAAAGGAACTTACTAATTTAAGAGCTTCGGAGAAAAGTATCGTTGCCGAACAGAATCAAAGGAAGAATAAAGCGAAATTATCTATATTTTGATATGTATATGATAAAAAATATATACATTAAGTATGTTTGTATATAAAGTTAGATATGTCAACATAATAAATGTTAAGTAAAGAATATATCAACTATTTTTGAAAACCATATTAAAACCAAATTTAAATAAAATTTTTTATTAATATTTTTATTTAAAAAAATTTTTTTTTTTTTGCAAATTACTTAATTCTCTATACAACGTATTTTCCCATTATTTGAATTTACCGCTTTTTATTCTAGTTACAATATACCTCACGAGAGGTCGTCTTTCGTATGACAATTTTCATAACATTCGAAACTAAGCTAACCTAATCCAACCTGAGCGAAGAGTACGATCATTTAATGATAAACAGACAATTCTAAACGATTTATACATTGAAAAATAATTACAAAATAACAATAATGTCAGAGGGAATTTTGTTGAAAGGCTTAAGCCTTGAGAAAGAGGAAAAAGATCCTACGACATTGTCAAAGTTATTTGACAATGCTTTTGAACTGTACAACAATATTAATAATACGCAGGAGCCAACAAACAGTACAAAAGTACAGGTATCGTAATTTTAATACTTTATCATATAACCAATCGCCGAGCAACGTATACATATACTGTTTCTAAACCAAGTCGAATTCCCTTCGACTATTTATCTCAACATCTTTTCTTACAATAAAAATTATAATACCTAATAACCCTTTTGTCTCTTTTGTTTATTGCAGGCAGACGTCAGGCGAACAATGCGTATGTTTGAAGATGCAACAAAACTGGTGTCTATGGTGGACATGTTCAGCGACAATGAGTCTTTCGAGGAAGTAGCTACGGAGAATGTCAAATATTTTTTACTACCAGCTCTACTTGGAAAGCTTACCACAAAAATGTGTGGCGTCGACGACAGATTGCATCTCGTTAAAGTAGCAGAAATATATTTTGTAGATTTTTTAAAACGACTGAAAACATACGGTTTGACAGATGTAGAAGTACCAGAGATTAATTCAACAGATGATGAAAAGCAAGATGCGGGAGATAGTCAAAACAAATCGCAAAAAGAACCACCGAAGATGTTAGAGGATATGGTTAGTTTCCTATTGTTGCATAATTATTGCAGAATATAATTAATAATAATAACATAATAATAATTTTATTTTAGGTACTTCGTAGAAATGCAAAGTTACAAAGATACAGGCAAGAGAAAGATTTGGAGTCTCGTTTGGATATCTTGAAGAAAAATTTGGACAATCCAAATATTGACGATGAAACCAAGAGGGAATATTTTGTTACTCTTTTAAAATTATATGCAGTTCAAATAATTGAGGAGTTAAATTTATTGGATACTGAGAAAACACTCTTGGAAAATATGAAGAAAATGGGACCAATGCACACTTTGGCTTCCGAATCACAGAAGAGTCAGAAACATAAACCTGCTCCAAAATTACAACCCATTATTATTACACGTGATGAAATACAGAAGAAGGTTTTTGGAGCGGGCTATCCCAGTTTACCAGTCTTAACAGTTGATGAATTCTATGAACAAAGGGTTAAAGATGGAGAGTAAGTAAACAACATGCCTAACATCTTTCTTATAACTTTGATTTGATAATGGCAGATGATAATATGCACTATTTCTAATATTTTAGCTGGCCTGATCCATCACAGCGTAATATGGTAAATTCTCGATGTCTGCAAGATGTAGCGAATAATAGCACAAGCGCAAACGATGAGGACAACGAAGCCGTTTTGAAGGAAAAAATGGAAGAAAAAGACGATTCCGAGTATCTCGAACGAGCCCGCGCGATGGACGAATACAAAGACACGCATCGTCGCGGATGGGGCAATCGTGCTAATAGAAGTTAAATGTCAAGAGATACACCGAAGATTTTTGTGCGCGTTACAGAATTCTGTATCATGGTATGTTTTTTTACGTTTTTGTTTATCTGATATTGAAGTTACGACGAATTGTAATGTGTCGAATCATATTTTAATCAGATTTAGGCAAAACTGCAGGTCCATCTTAAAATATTTAAATTATATCTTGCATTATGGGAGGGAAGGAGGCGGTAATTTTTTAAACAAATTACAAACGTATATACACGTATATCTATTTATATTTTATCGATTAATAAATCGTATATACTTTTGCAAACGAACCATAATGCAGTATCTCCGTGAAACCTATAATTAAGGTAGTTTTAGTCGGTAACTCTCTCTCCTTGTGCAGAATTGCATTGTATACTTATGCGTGTACTATAAAATATATAAAGTTCTGCAGAATGCGAAAGAGGGTAAACAGGTTCTTTTTATTCGAACACGCTATTGTTGCTTTAAAAGAGGCATTAAAAGAGAGACATAAAGGTCGTGAGTAATTTATTACAAAGCCAATATGAATTCAATCCGTGAAAGAGCTCTTCCAGTAACCACGTCCCAGATTCCTCATGCGTTCGGAAAATTGCGCCGCGGCGGTACGCTCGCTCGCCTCAAGAATCTGCACTCGCATCTCGTTTTCGACGTTAATGATTCATGATGTTGCCATAATATGTGCGCGTGTGCAACGCGCAGTTAAGCACCTGTAAATGGCCGTCCCGATATAACGCGTTCCACCCAGAAGGCTATTGCGTATACGTATTTGCCGCGTAAGTACGTAGAAATCTGTGTTTGTATTCGCGCGCGCGTGCACACATTGTGCTCGTCAGTACCGTAAGCTAATATTGCGAACGATATTGGCGCCTGATATCGGGAATGCTACAACATGTTATCGAGCCGATAATTGCGACGGTAATTTGTATGATTGCGAGCGTGATTGGTATGATCGATCGAGTTTTTACGTTCCCGTAATTACAGTCATCGATTGTTGTTTTTTTTTGTTGATGTGGCTGATGAAGTTGCATTCCACGCAGTTTTATCCATATTCAAATTGACTACGTTCCCGTAATTTCGCACTTTTTTATTTTACATGCAGTTATTTCACTTTAGTCTCGAAGTAAACACGCAACGTGGATGTATTTGTGAAAACGAATGAGAACTTCCATCCTTGAACTAAATAGCAGATATTTTAACAAGCATTTATTTTAATGTGTTTTTATTATTAGTCAAAATTTCGTGCCGAGCTGGTGTCTTTTGCCACTGATGTCGGTTGTTAACGTTAGATAACGTAAATTAGACAACGCACTAGAGTGTGAGATGACAGGAAAAAAATGCAAACGAGCAGATCTCCAATTTCGGCGATGGTGCTGAAAATCTCAGCCACCTTCCTGCTACCTTTCGGTATGGAAGATGGCGTCCAACCCTGAGATTGCCGCGGCGCAGGTGTCACTCAGGAACGACAAAAACGCGAACCAGTGTGTATGTATATGTGTACGTGCCTATGTGTGTGCGCGCAACAGGTTGTCGGGCCGCGTTTGAATATCTTCTTTTTTTTCCGCGGCGTGTTTGCGCGCTTGGAAACATGCAGCGGATTAGCGTCGCGTGAGCGTGTCTCGTGAACGTACGCATGCACGCACGTCGCGTCGCCTTCCCACCCTCGCCTCCGATCTCCGACGCGATGCGTGGTCGCGCGCCAGTCGCGCGCGGAATACATTAGGACTTCTCGGAAGCGGCTAGCCTCGAAAAGTCGCACTTGGCATTCGACGCGCGTGAACGAGCGAGCGAGCGAGCGGCGTGGTTTCTTCACCGCGGATTAAAAGCAGCGGTGCTGCGTTCGTCTTTCCTTCGGTATCTCCGTCTTTTTCCTCCTCGCTCCCTCACCGTTTAAATCACCCTGTATCTCGGAGCTCGCTTTCGGAGCACGATGGGCCTGCACACGTCATTGAGTTCCTTGGAAAGGAATCCCGCTCACGACGCGCGTATCCCATTCATGAAAAAGACATCGTGGTGTTAACTGTGTCAATGTAAGTTGCAGCGATGAATTAGGTTATGTATCGATATATGTGTGAAATATACGTTCGTAAGCGGTTATATTTTGCGCTTCATTGCGTAAAATGTATTTCGGTGAACATGTAGTGTGTGCCTGTACCGTGGTGTGGAAGCTGCGTGTTTACCCGCGCGCGCGCGCATGCAAGATGCGCCGTAATGTGTGCAGCTTGTTATTCGAAAGAAGGACGGTGTTATGAATAAATTATTAGCGACATTTATCGTATTTTTTGCGTGTACTCGACATTACGTTGACGATAAGTTCGCTGGTAGATTTGCCGTTTACGAGCGCATTGGAAATTGCAGTTGCGTATGTCGTGTGCTAAATAAACAATCGTAAATTTATTGAAGTTTACTTAGTTTCTCCGTTTGTGGAATGTGATGAAACGACGTATCATTCAAAAAAATTATTCCATCACGAATAATTGTCTGAACTACGTAACTGTCAACTGAGTGTTTAACAAAATTTTTTGGGCAAAAATTTCATTAATTTGTATATTTCTAAAACTTCGAAATTTGATTGACACAGATATATATTCTCAAAATATTTCATATCTAAAAATAATTTTTATAACATTTTAAAATTATTTTTTAAATATGAAACAAGCAGTAGAACTTAATTAAATTGATTTCAATGCATTTTAACCATTTTTTTCATTTTGCAAAATACAATTATATAAAGACTAGATTTTTGAAAATAATTAGATATGAAAATTTAGTGTCTATTGTTTAATATTTTATTTAAAAAATTATTGTATTAATAATAGCCATATAAGGTAATAATATTTTTTGTTTCGCCATTCCTGGCTATTGTCTGACTATTACTCATAATGGAGATAATTTTATACTTGTAATATCATTTACTTATGTTGATTACTAATCGTGGTGTTATCTCTCTGAATCATCAAAGATTAAGTGAAAAATGACACAAATGTGGGATATAAAACAGATTTTGACACGATAATACAATCTTCTTTTAGATATCGGACCAAGAACACACTTCTGGAAGTACTTCATAGTTTTCAAACGTCTCCAATGACACTTTAGTTGGTAAATATTGTACCAAAGATACAAGAGAAAAGAAGACGGAAACATGGATAGAGGACATGGTGCCACCTACACAGGAGGTGATAACCACCTACTCGAATACTGGGAGGAATATCAGAAAATGATAGAGGAAACAAAAATGTTGGACGATTATCTTGACGAAGAATGCCCACGAAGTTATGATGGTTTGTATAACAGTATTATATATTAAACTTATGCTATTATTTAAATATTTTTCCAAAAATTCTGAAAAATGAGCTTTAATCTGAAAAGTGCGATTATTGTTCTAAGGCGTAATATCTTATTTAACATATATGAATGTTTTTGTGCTCTTTTTTTACAGAGGGAGAAGAAGAAGCTGAATGGTTACGTGCAGCAGGCTTAGGACAGTTAACAGAAGCATGGAAAGCAGGCAGGGAAGTACAACCGGAGGAATTAGGAGCAGCCTTGCGTCCGCTATCGCGAGCTCAAGCAGAAGCTGTGAAACGTCGCGTGAGATCACTCAATCACACAGTTAAACAACGTTTTAATCAACGCCAACGTGTTCGCAAGCCGGACATTAGAGATGTTTTTAAAGACGTAGAGGTATGTCAATAATTAATGATAGATAAATAAAATTCGCTTGTATCTCAAAATAATTATTTTTTAATTAATTACAAATTTTGTTCACAATTATAATTGTCAAATTTTATTTATTAAATTAATCAGAAATGTATTTATTTAGGTGTCTAGCACGGGCACACGATCACGTAGCGCTACTCCTGATTCTCTCGATTCAATTCCAAGTGCTACACCAGAAAATGCATCACCTCCTTCACCTCCGACGGTTACCGTTTGCGAGGATGCACAAAAGTAAGTTTATTATGTTTTATGTAATAAAAATTTTATTGTTGTTTGCGATATAATTCCTCTTTAATTATTTAAAGCGCTTGCATTCCGAGTTTTGTATCGATATTTCATCGTGCGTCAAATGAGGGAAAAGCAACAGTTCGTAGAACACCAAGTGCTCCACAGACTGTTCTCAGCTCTGCGTCAATGCCTGCTCCTGCTCCTGTACCTATACAAGAAATTTTCAGAAGAACTGGCAACTGGTCGAGGGGAGATGTCGCGAACGATTCTGGTATTATTGTCTTTACATCTATATTTTATAATCTTTTAGTAGCTTTACTTTGAAGTTTAAAATATTGCGTGTTGTTGCAGAAGGAATACAGTTAACCGGCTATCATAGATTGGGGACGGTACACATTGCCAGACCAAGTCAGAGGCATAATAACGATGATCTTAGTGATGTAACAAGTGGTACAGCACATTCAGATATTGAGTCAGTCAAAAAATTGGCCGTATCAAAGGAATCAACTCTTCGGTAAGTTTAAAACAAACTTTAAGATAATTAAATTACTGTTTTTGAAATATTTTTCTAATTATCGTGTGGTATATATTATTTTAGACGAAGTTCGGGAAGTCACGCGACAGTAACTCGAAGTCACAGCAGTTTATACGGCTTGACGAGACCGACGGATGAAAACTTAATAGCTCGTCCGCTAAGTCGCACGTCGTCGCATGGTCATCTCAGTTTTGAAGAGATGTGCAGAACCAACGAGGCGAAATCTCAAGCGTGGTCTTCTGACAATCTTACGGCCGCTGAAGATTATGCTCGGCAAGATGTAGATTTATTATCGCAACGAGATCTTACGAGATTGCAGCCCCTTTTGTGGCTCGAACTAACGGCGATTTTCGATAAATATAATATACCACTTACGAGACGGAAGCCCAATAAGCGACGAAGAAAAAGTACGTAATACTGACGCTTGTATTCGCTCTTTTTGTGTCGTGACTGTCTTGTAATATAAATTTATATATAATTATAGGTGGAAATTTATTTGGCGTTTCTTTGTCAACACTATTGCTCAGGGACAGTCAATTAACAAGTGAAGAAAATAACATACCATTAGTGTTCCAAAAGATTCTTAGTGAATTGACAACGCGTGGAGTGAAAGAGGAAGGTATTCTTCGTGTCGGTGGCCACAAGCAAAAGGTAAATATGTAACGAAATGTTATTATTAATTAAAATATTTAATGATAATTTTTTACACGCCATTACGTACTAACGACAATTGTCCAGGTGGAAATGATCTGTACGGAGCTGGAAACAGATTTTTATTGTAAACCAAAGGAGATGGATAAACTGTTTAAGCGCACTCCATGCCACGATTTATCGGCCGTTTTGAAAAGATTGTTACGGGACTTGCCACAACCACTTCTCACTGTTGAGCTGATTGATGTTTTTTATCAAAGTCATGGTTAGTGCAATATTATTTACATAGATATTCTATAGATTAGATATTCTATATGAATAGACCAAAGGTCTACAAAAAAATGTTTTCGTACACAGGCGTAAAGAATCCTAGTGACTTGATGTACGCTCTTAATTTGCTGGTGCTGTTGCTACCCGTCGAACATCGGTATACTTTAGAGGCGTTGTTAAATTTTTTAAAACTGGTTGTTGAGAATCAGGCGTCGAACAAAATGTCGATTCATAATGTGGCGATGATAGTAGCACCGTCGCTTTTTCCACCTCGATACATTTATCCTCGGGACCCTGCCGATCTAACTGCTCAGGTCAACATGGCTGCCATATGCTGTCAGGTAACGGAAGCTCTACTTAATAATATTGATAAGTTATGGCGCGTTCCGACGGAACTGATAAATCAATTACGGAGGCAGTCAGAAGTAGAGAGATATCGTAAATACAAAAAAAAGTATTACTGATAATTAAATCGTTTAAGATAATGATCGCATACTTCAAATTTTCATTTCGTTACTTTAAACCATATTAATGCATAAGTTATGTAACATATTAACACATCGAATTTTACAAAGAAGGTAAGTGATTTGCGATATATAACACTGGTCAAAAAAATAAATTTTTTTGTCACAAGATTTAAATCGGTGAATCTACTGATATTTTTTATGTTGAAATCAAGTATGTTTTTAGATTTTCTCTATCGGACAAAATTATTAAGTAACACATGATCTTAGTTTGACAAAATTGAGTACTTAAATAATAATACTAAGTTATGCTGCTTTATTTAAAAAGTAACAGTCGATGATTTTGTGGCACATTTTGCTTGTGAAAGATCTCTTTTTTTTGTCCAACAATAGTCAATCAGCATATTAGGATTTCTACAAAGGGTTACGCAGCCCATATCTCAACATGTGAGAATATAAATTTTTTTTAGCCTGCACAGTCTTTTTTTACTGAGGAAGAGTATATGTTTACTGTTATTATAACAATAATATTCATACATTATATTTACAATACATAAAGAAGACCATTACAATAGTACAAATTATCATTATAAAAAATACTAAAAACGATAAAATTATATCAGAAATAGCTGTTAGAAAAACTGTGGATGATAGAACAAATCTGATTCATATTTTAATTCAGCGTAAAAATATACATTAAAGACAATTATAGTTTTCTTGTGACAAAAATCGTGCTGACCAGTGTAATTTGCGAAGGCATTGATATAATGCATTATTCCGAATAATAATAGTGCCTGTCTGCATGTCAAAAGATCTGCAGCATTTTGTCTTTATTTCTGTGAATTGTAAGATATTGTATATATATAGGTTAGTTAATGCTACTTAAGTAGGTTTTTGCTCATTAGTCAACCATGATACCATATATCACCTCACTTTTGATGCTAATAATCATATTACACATATTACGTTTATTAGTTTACACATCTTACAATATGTGGATGATTTACTAATCCATTTGTCTCGAGGTGCAATAATTTAATAGGATAGATTTTTCAATTATTTTTTTTCATTAGAAATTAAACGTAATTTACATAAGTACAATTTTTTTTCTACAGAATACGAAATTTTATTTCTTCGATTTTATATGTTGCGACCAATATTGATTTGTACATCACAATTGCATTACAAAATAGAGATTATGCAAGAACATTTATATTCTTGAATTGGGTGTTACGAATATATTTAAATGTTCTTTATTAATAATATTTATTTTTCATTAATTGATTATGCAGTAAAAAGTAGGTGCAGTCTGATAATATGCAGCAGAGCAAGATGTTTCTCATGTTATGTAATTTTGTACAATACATGATGTGGCATTTCAAATATTATTGCAACAGTTGGCTTTAAGGTTTATAATTTATTATAATGTTGTTAATAACAGCCTGTGGAACCTCATTAGGATGATTATAATTTTGTCGGTTGTTAATCTTTTCAACTAAAATAATATCTCATTGTGTATAAAACTGTGACAAACTAAATGTAATGATCTCTTAGAAGATCATTATTTAGTTTCTTAAACTTTCTATATTGTTTTATTCACAGACGATATATAATGGTAATTATTAACGTGATTCTAATTATCTCATGCTTATGTGATGATGTCAATGATAATGTGCCTATAAATCTTATATAAACGGGAACAATGGAATTCTATAAGATTATATTTGTGTAAGAATTTTAATGTGGTTCTATTATTGTGACATATCATTTTCACAGGAGAAATAGCGTGTTTTCTTTACCATTTGATACGCCATATTATCATAAGACTTTGTATATATCATTTCATAAATTGTTATATTTGCGTTAATAAAGTGCCAAAGAAAACAAACGTTGGAGAGATATCCCGTGCGCTATCCATGTATAATCCATAGAAAAACTGTGTAAAATGGACGAAATAATAACATCCATAATCATTTAGTTGTGTATTGCTGTACGCGCTAAACTTTGCTATGTCTACGTTTTAAGAATTTTCAGGAAGTTCTTCGAGTTTGCGTATTCTCGAGGGCATCGTTGGACATATCTGCAAAATAAGAATCGAAATAATATGAATTTTTAATTATTTTCAGTTATGTCTTCGAAGAAATATTTTATATGTTGAGCGAAAGAAACGTTTATTACTATTGTTCTCTGATGATTATCCTTTTGATTATCCTAGATCCTGATCCTGAGGCTTTATTGGATTTTCACCTTTAGATTTTGCCTACATAATTTATAGAATAAGCACGATTATAATTATGTCAGTAATATCAATATACAATCATTATTACTATAATTAATATACCTGTTCTTGCAAATTTATATCAGCCTGATTTTGCTCATTAGAACTATTTGTTATGTTTTCCATATTACTGACTGATGTATCATTTAGGCCGAATCCGTGAAGAGCTGAATCTGTATTTGCTTTAGATTTAATCGAATACACATCGATGAGATTCCCTTCTGTTGGACCTAAAATCGCAAAATATAATCGTAGAATACAAATTATTCTGAAATTTCCTGAGATTAATCTTGGTCATAATTTCTTACATTTTAGCGTCCTCTTCCTGAAACCTGCGTGAAAGAACGAGTAATTATTTTCATCTGAGCAACTTAAGATTATTAAAAATAGAAGTGTCATATAATTGTTGAGTTAATATGCAAAATTAATTTTAGGAGCGGAATTTTTTTAACATTCCACACCTGGAATATTAAATTATAGTCTTACTCACTGTGCAGTTCATTGATAACCGTGTCAAATTGCGTTGTATTGAATAGATAAAGATTTTTACGACGATCGAAGCCGATAGAAGCCAAGGCTAATAAAATTTCCCAATCATCCTGCAAGCCGATTGCAACTATCTGATTGCCGATAGTTTTCATATGGACAAGAATTTCTATGTAACGAGATATATGCTTCACGTCGATGACTGTGACTATCGAGAAAAAAGAAATAAATGAATTATTGTGAAATTAATATTGCGTATAACATATTACTAGTAATTAAAAGGGAATGTGTCATTATTTTTATTTTATTTTATTTGCGTACATATTACGATTTTTTTTCCCTTGTGCATCGACAGGTGCTGACGCAAGATATCAGAATGCGCTTGTTGACGGCTGTCAATAGCGTTCGATTTTTTTGTGAGATTATTAATCGTATGTAAAGTGGCGCAAATGTCGGTTTGATTGAATGGCAATTGAGTCGGCGATGCCGTGCAATACATTCCCATTTTGAGATTATAATTTATCCTAAAATATGATTGAAATGGTAAAATTGATGACGATGATTTTTAGATCATTTATAAGATAAATATTTTTATTTTGTTTGTTATTAAGACAACATATTAATGTATTTGCATAAATGAATTGTTGAAACGGCACTTACGGAAAAATGTTTAGAATTTGTTCCACGAAACGCAACGATGACGATTGCATTTTTTCGTTCGCGTGATCCAGAATGAAGTAGTAGCCCGCGCTGATTTGCAAATCGTGATCCAACGACCTCACCATTCGCTTCGCGTAGTCCTTCAATTCTGCCAAATATTTTTAGTCCCAAAATAGTTTTGTAACAAATATGAAATATATTTAGAATTGTATAATATGTGAATTATGAAGTTTATTATTTTAGTGCTCAAATCTTTAATTGGCCAGTTTCAAAATTATTTGTTACCGAGACAGAGCGGAACCTCGAGCCAATTTTTTATAGTGCTCCAGCCGTTTTGATATGTGCAGGATATATTTTTTACGCCCATTGTCATGAATCCTTTATCACAATGTAATTCGCAGTGCTTGCCTTTTGCCGTATCCCGGCACATCCAGTTACCGTTCTTTACAGGCGGTGTTACGTCGCACGCTGAAATGTATGTATTTATTATGTACGTAATTTATTATTGTTTGCATAGAAAAACGCTGTATCTTCCAACAGCCGCCCATACTTATTTTGCAAACGAACGGTTGCTTGCTATTGCAGTCGAGGCCGTACAAATGCGGCTTCACATGATCACTGCGATCTAAATTTAAGCAGGTCGACGAATGCCTAATATAATAATCGAATTGCTCGTTCATGTTTGCCCACGGTGGGAATCCGAAGGAATCCTTCTTGTTCGCGATCCTGCGACCACTATGTGCCCATTGCCACTCGTTCGGTTTAACAAGATGCCCTCCGACCCAAATGTGACTTATGTCTACGATAGAATACTATTATATACAGAGATTTGTTTTAAATCAACTGTTAATAGCAGATTCCAGAGGTCATTTTGAGACGAAAATCTTTATACCAAAATGTTGAGGCTGCAAAAGTTAATGAAAAGTGTTCAAAGTTGATGAATCAAATTGTTAAAAATTCATGCACTCGGGCACGCATATTGATTTTTATATTCTTACTATATGAGAAACTTCAGAAATTTGCTATTAACAGGTGATACGATTAGTCTGAGATATTCCGTATATGCACAGAGAAATATTAATGTTAACATTAATTCTTAACGGTTACACGGGGTCAAAATAACGACTTTGAACGATTGTCGCACCCAAACTATTGATCGTTTTAAGTCAAAAAAATTATTGAACATTCTTCAAATAGTGTAAAATGTGAATCAATTTCATGTTATGTTAAATTTTAATTCGAACATTGCAACAAAATTACTGAATCATAAGATACGTAAAAAATGACCTTTTCACTTAAAATATCATAACTTTTTAGATTTCTAATATTTTTTCAAAAAATTTTTAGGGTATATTCTTCAAATATAGCACTTTAAGCAAAAAATCAGTACCATAATGCGCGTTTCAAAAAAGGTTTTTATTTTGAGGTATGAAGAGGTAATTTTAAAGAAAAAACAGCTGTCGAACATGAACTGACGCGTTCTAGCCAGCACCTGGCTTATGGTCGCATAGAGGGAACCTAGAACTGTCGATAGATAGCGACAGAAGTCCAATATATTGAAATAATAACGTAGAGAAAATTCAGCCCAAACTTTCGTTGGGGTCACACAGATCCCACGGTAACCGTTAAGGGTTAATCGTAATATAAATTCTAATTACATATTAAAAAATGATATAAGTTTATGTTCAATAATATAGGAATATTAATACCTCAGATAGAGCCAAATATTAGCAATATTGACAGCTGATTCGATCAAATTTATTATTTGATCAAATTTGCTCAATCTGCCAACATTGCTAATATTTTGTTTACTGGGACAATAATCACAACATATTAATGCAACGTAGCACATTGATACGTAACTTGAACAAATGTGATTCGCATAATTAATTGACTTATTCTTTAATTAAAATTTTCTACAAATTTACAGGAAATATAGAGATCCCATAAAATTATGGAATTACTTGCATTTTATACGAATAAATTATTGACCGGATAATGAAATAGATAGAGCACGTATAATAGTTTCTATTCGATTTTTAGACCGGCTGAATTCGTTCCATCGATTACATACCTTTGGGATGATCGCCCATTGCTTCGACGATCAAATTGGTGACATTTATGTCGTTCATATAAGCGAGTACGCTACCCCGCTCGTTACAGAACGCGCTGCTCTCTTGCCAGGTCTTTTCTATCGGATAAATGATATAGATGCTATTGCCGTACGCGAACTTTATCGGCTCATTCAGCCAACTGGTGGTTTCGTCTTCCGGATCTAAAGTAAACGTCAAGCCATAAATAACGCGATTATCTTTACGCTGCGCGAGAGAAGGACGAACAGTATCGTGTGTGAATGTCGTGAAAAGTATCATGTTTTGTAACTTTCACGGCTGTAACTATGCGTAAGTTCGCTAAACTTGTGCGGAAATTGGCTCGTATTTGCATTGTGCGCTCGGTTAAACGAGTTCAGTCTTCTCTCGTGCGCGCGATTATATCGGAAGCGGTAAACAAACACCGCGATGAACGCACATTCCTCGCACACGAAATCACGCTTGCGGTCGCAGTTTGCCGCGATGAAGTTTGGCGTATTTTCCATGTGCCGATCGAGGAGTAGGCATCCTTCATTCCTCTCCGATCTGCCGTATCTCCACGGCGGATATCCATTCTTATTCGTTACAGGATCCAAACCCGCACCGGTGGACATCCAGATCCATTGTCCGTAGGAATAGTGCGCCCCGACCCAGACAGTCTCGAAGTCTTACAAAAAAGATTTCGATTTAATCGATTTGGCTTTTAGTTAAAAATTCCCATCAAAACTAGAACTGCAAAAATCTAGAAATTCTACAGAAGTTTCGAACTGCTTATGCTTGTCTTCTTCTTTTGTTAACAATTATAGTTATTACAAATGCAAGTTATTATGAATAAATTGTTGACCATCCACTGGATTTCAATTTACTGAGATACGTCGTGTTAAATCATACAGTTATCATGATTCTTATTTTATTATCGACTTTAAAAGCATCTCTCAAGTTTTATATCTCAAAGTTTTATATCTCATGGTATATGCGGAGAGATTGTGTGAATGCCATAATACCGTTTATTGTTATTATCTTTAACTTAATCTGTGATTTATGGTTACTGTTTACGACTAACAGGTAATCTTTTTTTCACATTCATACGTATCAATATACAAAGTAGTGATGACGCTCTCATATGAACATTACGGAGTTATAGCTACAACGATAAAATCATTAATCGCGCCACTTTTTTACCTGGACGAGCCTTCGTCATGGTATTGGCGAGGATTTCGATGATGTTAGAGCTCTTCAGGATCGCCAATCTGGCGCCTAATAAACGACAGTATACCGCGGCTTCTTCCCAGGTGAATCTGGCGTGATAAAGGGTGTACGTGTGTTGTTGTATCTGCACCCACTTGAAAGGTATGGGTTTGCCGGTTTCCTCATCGGATCCTATTGACAGAAATTGAAATCGATGAATCTTGCAATTAATATTAAATTAAATCTTATAATATTAATATTTATTATGATTGTTAATTAGGATTTGAACTAAATTTGTAACAGGTGGAATACAGGTGGTGTTAGATTTTGATTACTTTTTTCGCAAATAAACGGTCGCTGCAGACGACAATCGAGATCGACGAAATTGGGATGAGAATGAGCGCGACGGTCAATCGCCAAACAGTCCTTCATCGATCGCGACGGTTTCCTAGCCCACGGAGGATAATTCTCCATGTTTGTTTCCACAGGTATTTCGGTATTCTTCTGTGATTCAATGTGATCATACATCCACGACCATGTATTTCCCAAGCGTCGGCCACCGAGCCACGAGTCTTCCTCCATTTCTAATTTTGTACAATTTATTGGATGTAATTGCATGTGTAACAGATTGTTATTTGAATAATCTGGATAGATAACGGAGAAGTTTATATGACGGACATCTTATCGCATTAAATCACCTATATTGGAATCCGCTATCGTCTCTGCGACGCTTTTGGCCTTCTCCATGGTGTTTAAAATGGCGAGTTTCGCGTTATAATAGCTGCACAGCACACGCGCTTCGTCCCAAGTCACTCTCTGAGAGAAGAAAAGATATTGCGTTTCGTTCAAGTTGTAATACTCGACCGTCGATTGAGGCTCACTCTTACCTTTGAAATAATTATTACGGTTTATTAATTATTATTACACCAAAGAGTAATATTACGTTGTTTAATTTCTCATTTTATTGCAATACGTACAATGTTTCTCTAATACATTCCCGTTCCAGCCGGCTTCTGCAGCAGCATTTAACATTGTTATCTTATGAATTATTATTCAAGAAGCAGACAAGGGAGAAAAAAAGTTTAAGTTCTTACCTGTTTCATGTACTCGATATTGTGGCTTGTGTTGCATTCCTATTGCAGATGTGACTGAAATTTTTTACCGTATATTTATTTCAGATATATTAAAAGTAATTGGTCAGCGTAGATTAAAATGATATTTTTTAATACAGCTTAACATTTAAGCATTTTACATCTTGATAATTTTGCAGCGTTACTCACCTATCGCTACAGCAGCAATGAAAGAGAAGATGAACATTCTTCCTAACGCCATTATAAATTCCGATTAATTATTTGACAAACGATTTATGCATTACTAAGTGCAATAATAGTTTATTCCGAATTAATACACGCAGAAACTCTAATTTCCTGTTTAATCTGCACCTAGAACTTATTTCTCGCTTGTTCCTCGCCTTTGCAATCTAGAGACTGTGTGCCGTGCGAAATTCTACGTCGAATGCATGCACTCGGCGTTAGTTTACAAAACAGCGTGATTTATAGCGATTTAAGATGCTAAATATCCTTGATTGCCACACAAAGGAATGCAGAATAGTATTGGAATTCAATTGTCGTTATGCAATTAAGAACGCGCTTTTGCCGTGATATTTCTGCATATATTTTATTGGTTACTACATTTATTAGCGTTATGCTTGAAAGTACACATTTTGAATCGTATAAATTAATAGTAGTAAATAAAATAGGTATTTGATAACGTGCGATTACAATATTTATATTTTTAATTTTGCGACTGATTTATCGCACAGACGCGATGACTCTTTCCAGATCTGCGTCGCCGATTATCGGCGCGAATAGCTCCCCGGCCAATTCCCGAGGGCAGCATCCGGTTAGAATAGGCAAGACAAATAGAATCCTGGCCAGTTTGTTATCGCGATCGTCCCGATGCTGGAGGTGTCGTATTAAAGCTTCCACGGCGTTATCTCGCGCTTGCGACATTACGTGGAAACCGTTGGTGGTATCGGCAATTTCTGCAATTCACAATAATATTGCGCTTTTATACGCCGAGAAATTTAACGCGCGCGTTATCGGAATTGTACAGCTCTCGCGCTATTATTGATTTTTATTCAGTTGTTATTTACCGGGTCGGCATAGCACGAATGTGTCCAAAATGCATAATTCGACATCGTCGAGCTGCAGCTTTGTGATCGCGATACGCGCGGCGTTCAAGCAGGCTGACGCATTGTCGTTACTCGTTGCGCTCTGCCCTCGTATATTCATTAAGTCGATCGGCCACGTAGCTGCGCGCAAAACGAAAAGAGCGGACCATCCACGACGAAGGATTTTATTTTGCTCCTCCGTGTCCAGGATCGAGAAATCCCGGTGTCGACGCGCATTGCGAACGGCAGCCAGGAATATTTGCGCGGATATTTCGTAATGTATAGCCGTGCCTGATGCAATATAAAATCTGTTTATACATTGTCATAAAGAATAATATAATAACTATATGTGGCACACTATCTTTTAGATTAGAATTTCTTTAAAATAATTAAATTAAATTAAAACAATTTACAAATGAACAATTTTAATCATATTATTTTATATATTTCACACTTTATTTTATATATTTTATTAATAATGCAGCAATTGTTGAAATAATCTGCGGAGTTTATTGAAAGTTAATAAGTGAAATATTTAATGAAGAAGAAATTACCAGGCGATATAATCCTTGCTGATTGTACGTGACGCGAAATGACAGGAAACAAAATGTTGTCTCTATTTTCAGTTCTGTGTAGCGTCTTCATCATTAAAGTATTATTTACGGCAGGATTTTTGAAAGGCAAATGCATCTCGGAGCTATTAAAGTGTGCATAAAAAGTTGCTGACGATTCGATTCTAGGCTTCCAAGTAATGTTAGAATTATGCGGATTTGAGAGCGCGTTACTTCGAACGCGCGGTCCTCGTTCCTCCTGCACCGCTGTGAAAAGATTTGCTTTAAAAGTTTAACGATATCTCGTGAGATATCAAGAAAATTACTATTTGTTTGGATTTGTGCTAGGAATTTTTGTTTAGAAATTTAAAATTAATATTTTATAAAAATTTATAAAAATTTCTCGGATTAAAGTTAAATATTTTTAAATATTTCTTTAAAAATCTTCCAAATAAATAAAAAAATTTCGCGGGATTTTTATTTGTACGTTATCGAGTGACTGCCTTCTTTTACCTTCGCTATAATCGATATGTGTAACAATGATGTCAAACGATTTCAGAGGGGTAGCTTTAATTCTCCGATCAGAGGGTAAGCTTTGTGTACTTAAGAGCTGACCACCGGAGTTGACACTCGATGTCGTTTTACGTGACATGTTACAGCAATGGCTACTACTAAATTATTTACTAGACTATCTATGAAAGATGATTGTGCTGATTTTTATTCTCTCCTGTCAGTTTTAATTATGAATATTATATGACAGAGACTTTTTTAATAATTTTAGTATATTTTTATAAATATTTTTTATCGAATCTGTTTAATATTAAATTTGCAAAGTACTATTTTATGTATAAACTGAGAAAATTGTGTTAATTTTTTTCTTAAAATTTTTAGGTGTTTCTTTATATGTTATTATTTAATTTTATATTACATTATTTAAAATAAAATAAAATAAATCTCTTGTGAGGTACAAAAAAATAAAATAGACGTAATTTAGATTGACATTGATTGTCTTATTGCAGGTCTGCTGTCAATTAATTTTTCCGGATAACGTTAAGGGTGAAGGAACACGTGTCTAACACACGCCATTGTTTGCATTTCATTGAGGTGTTTAGCACCTACTCGATCTGGCTATGTCTATTTCACAGCGCTGATTTTTCGTAAAAAATATCGACTTTATTTAATTTAATAATTGATATATTATTTTGCATGAGACAATAACAATTAATAGACTGATCAATAGAAAATTATAGCTTGATAAAAAATAATGTATTTTATAACTATAAAATTTTTCAGGGAAGAAAAATATGTTTTAATCGCAAATTTAAATATGCAGACAATTAATGATAATAGTTATTATTTTTTAAGCAGACATAAAAGTGTATGCAATGTAGTTAATATTTGTTTTATATTAATTCTAAAATGAAAATTTGATTGTTAGCTAAATATGAGTGTTATAATCAGTGCTTCTGCCCTTATTAAATCTTCACTTACCTGCGGTATTCATGCCAACTGAGAAACACTTTTTTAGACGGCAATGCGGACACCAATTTCGTCTGGCTTTATCAACGGTGCAAGATCCATCGCTATCTAAAGAATTACAGAATCCGATTTTAATAATTATATGATATTTATGTACAAGATATATGTTTTAATACAATTGGATTTTTTTTTTTAGTTATTTGGCGATACTGGAACGTCGTATGTATTTTACATTACTTCGACTTAAGTGTACATTACTTCGACTTAAAGTGTACAAACTTGTACAAGTGAAGAGAGCGCCGCGACGCACGGATCTCTTGAAGAAGCACGAGCAGCCATCGCAACAATAAACACCGTAATGTTTTCCATATGATCGATCACCGCACACTTTGCAGGACACCGGCGTGGGCAGAGTTCTTCCTGTCGCGAGAAATGTCAGGTAAGAATTTTCAGTTGTTTTCAGAACACCGAGATCCATTTTACAGGTTAAAAATATCTACGATTAATTTTATTGCGAGAAAGTTGTCGAGACGCGTGCACTGGTATCGTCAATAGGGTTGTTATTTCCGATTGAGTGGATAAACAAAGATATATTTACCCATTTTTTGATATTTCACTGCGACGAATTCGAGATTGTCGAACACAAAGCTGTTGAGGGACGAATTGCGCGGTGATGTCTGAGCGATACTCGCAAAGCGATCTAAGTAAATCGTGCCCGACTGGACTCGCGAGCGAAGACAAACTCTGTCAGCGACGTGAAACGAACCCCCGTCCGAGGGAGGTTTAACGCGATAGTGGTGGAAACGGACGGGGGCGAGTTTGATTTGTCCAACGTGCCACTTCAAACGTCAGAACGCGAAAGGGTAATATTTGCGATGGACTGGTCGAGCGTGACACCATTGTTCGATCGTGAAATTATTCTAGATAGATTGCGCAAGGAGACGGCTTTGTTCAAGTCCTCGTATAGAAGACAAGTAAGTACTTGTGATAATTATCCATAATTTATTTGTAAGAGGAAAAAGTGCTGCGGTATATTTAGTTTACGAATCCTTTCCATGAAGGTAAAATAAGATATTTTATTGAGAAAGATCTTATTTGCGATTTGTGTTTCATTTGGTGTTTGGAGAACATAAAAATATACCAAACGAAAGTACAATTTTCTATCTTTGTGTGTGTTGAAACTTGAATTTTAATCAACAGAGAAGTAATTTTAGCTTCTTTTATTTTATTAGCAATACATTTAAAATATTTCAAGAATCAAATTTTACAAATGTTATGTAGATCATTATTATACAAGATATAATTACAATAATACAAAATTATCTTTTTGCATACGTACAAATAATTCTTTGCTTCTTCAAAGAATATCACTATCAATACAACATTAACATATTCAATAATTTATTTGTCTCTAGTTAAAAAGTCGAAACGTGGAATATGAATAGTCATTTATTGCTCGAATTTTAATTAATCATAGAAGTGCAATGCGATTAATTTATTCACTCATTACTAAATTTCCATTAGATTAGGGCATTTCTTTCCTCAGCTCAAAAGAAAACACAATTTCTGTCGACTAAAGTGAGTAAAATTATTTATTACGCGTGACAAAAGTAATTACAGAGGAACTATACACAAAGATCTATTCTCTTGATTAACGTTAACTAAATGTATGCTTTAGGAAAAAAAGTCGTGGCAGCTCTTCGGGCCTCGAGTCAATAAATTATATCTTGTCAAGCTTTTCCTCCTCTCTCGTAGTGAGTTCTTATTATATTTGTGCGGGGGTTATTACAAGTCTCATAATATTATCGCGCCTCGAAGAATTGATTTTATCTACTTCCTGCGTCTATATTATGCTTATTTTTTATAATAATTTTATAGATCTATTTATGCTTGTCGGCGAGTTGGATAAATAGAATAAATAGCACATTTTTTTACTATTTGAGAAAAGTGATTCAAACAAGATAATTCAATATATTTCGAGCAACCGTTAAGTGTTGCTGCAAGCAAGTATTCTGAGATCCGGTGTTATTTTAAATTAAATTAACACATTAAATGAAGCGGTGGAGTCATCGAGGCCGAAAAAGTCGATCTATTCCTAACAATGCGATAGCTTATCATAGGGATTATTTACAATTAAGTACTCTGCGTGCGTGCGGCATTTGCTGTGTAACAGAAAAAAAATCGTGATGGATGATCGGCATGTGCGGGTTGAAATGTATTGTATGTCAATACAACAATATTTGTATGTCAATACAATACACTTGTATTAAATGTCGTCGGACAATCTCGGCAACATTTTTTTTACTTATTACAAATTTGAAAAACAGCGTGAAAAACGTTTAGTTGTTCTTCAAACGCAGAATTTAGATTTTTATTTTATTGCATACGAATCTTGCCGATAATCCATCAGTTTTATTAAGTATTTCTACGCGTCACACTTTGTCAGATCAAGAAGCACTCTCTTTCTCTCCTCCTCCCTCTCTCTCTCTTTCTCTCTCTCTCTCTCTCTTTCCTCGCGCGCACGCCTATTATATTATTTTATTATAACTCAATTATTTACATGTGTCGGGTATTCGAACGGGTACAAAAAGCGCGTAATTAGACATGCAAATGTGCTGCGTCTTGTGTTAGCATTTCAAAATGTTTGTCCCGATTTCTCGATCACTGTCGCTATAGCAGCGGTGTAATTTTTAGTACACGTTGTCCTTCATTTTTTGTAATCCCTGTCATTGACTAGAGATTTAGTTTTCCTCTCGATCAGGATATCGTATTCAAAGTTGAAGTCTTTGAGGCACATCGACGATGTCTTCATTCTTCTCAAATCATTTTATCGGATAAGTAAAAATATCCGTATAGATTTCTCTATATGTGCAAACTTTTCTCCTCGGAAAGCCAAGAGTTTTCACACAAAGTAGTACTTTCCTTTCAGAATATTTCCCGCGTTTCAATTGCTATCGATAAAGCAGCTGATTTCTCAGATTTTGGAATAATTTACACGTTCGCCACTGACTAGTCCCGTAATGTGGAAGCATCCTTCTTCCACTTGTCAAAGGCGTGTTTCAATTTGATTTCATCGTTTCCTTTTTCCTTATCGGTTCACTACTCGATACTTTGTGATCGTTGATTTTGGGTTTCTCGCCGAGTTCTCGATCAATCCCGCGATGCGGAAAAGTCTTCTTTGTCTCTCGGCGCGTCTGAATTCATTCTTCAAGGCGATCCTTTCGATCGCTAAGCAATTACGAGGACGCGAGTAATTTCGCCGCCGTGGTGACGTGATGTTGATGATGATAAGGTGCTTCTTGAGTGCCGTAATAGCTCTGCTGCTGATGCTCGCTGGTGGCGGTGAGTTGATGGGGATGCTGATAGTAAGATGAGTACGGCTGGCCGACGATGCCGTCGCAGCTCCGCGGTTCCGTTTTCACAGCGGGCACATTTCCGGTGGCCAGCAGAGAGGTATGTCCGAGGTAGACGGGTCTGTCTGTTGACGTCGATGAGCCCGATGATTTCGACACCTCGATTTGATGGTGCTGCTGTTGCTGCTGCTGCTGCTGCTGCTGCTGCTGTTGCTGATTACTCTTTAAATCTATAGGGAAGTAATCGTGACGTTGCAAATAAATCGTGCTAAATAATGAATGAAAAAGGCTTTATAATTTACAATATCAAATACAAAAAATATATAAAAAATTAGAAATTATATTATAATAATTCATTTTCTTTGCACTAATTAAGAATTTAATATTAAAAAACAGGTTCGTGAAATTAAATGAAATAAAATTATGTAACTAAAACTGCAATCATTGCTCATTCTGTTTATTTAATTGTTTTGATACCGTTTAATTATCTATTTTAGGATCCCGTATTTTTGTATTTCGTTATCTTTCTTTGCCACAGAAAGTAATATAATATTTACGAACCCGTGGAAGGAGAGGAAGTGGTCGAAGCGGTGGTTTCGTGGTCTCCTGTGGATGATCTAGCATTCGGTTCCGGGGTCTTCTTCGGTTTCCTCTTCCTCGTCTGAATGCCGTCCTTCCGCATAGCAAGCGGCCTGTTGACCCCGTGCAATTTGAAGTACAGACCGCAAGCGTTGCACACCGGCTCGCCCTCGTTGTTGCGCCTCCACAAGGTAGTAGTACGGGTGCCGCAATTTGTGCAGCACAGCCCGAGTCGCCTCGTCGCGCTCTGAAATTCCGACATCTGTCCCATTTGTAACGCACGCTGTGGCGTAGCTCAATTCGTACAAACGCAACCATGTGCGTGATATTAAAAGAATACTGAACCAAATTTCTTTTTAAATATGTTTTACTGCGGACGAAACAATTTATTGCCATATATTTATAAAGGTGTTTTTGTAGATTTTGACAAATCTATATGAATTCATTGTCATATTTCTCATCTACGCGAAACGTTAGCGGTAAAAGTTTGTTTAGATTCTTTCAAGCGAACGCTTTATATGATACTACATCACTTTTTTGGAGATGCAAAAAAATGCACTTTAACAAAGTGAACACATATAGGCGCACGGAGACGAAATTTCGTATGATCATTTATGGATGAACTTACCAGGCGTTTCGAGGGCTTGATGAGCGGCCTGTTCATGCCGTTCATCTTGTGATAAAGTCCGCATGCGTTACAGAGATAATGGCCAGTGCCATCCCTTCGCCAGAGCGGTGTCGATATCGCGCCGCAATTCACACACTCGCGGCCCTCCCCGAATTGGAAGTCCATGGCGGTGTCTACAATCATTTTTTTTATCGATTAGTTGTTTTCTTGTTTTATTTGTCCTAAAGCTAACTGAATCAATCTTTCTATTTCTGATTATCAAAAATTTTCGGGCTAAAATTTATTCTACATTTTTTAATTGACAGAGCGCTGATTTGACGGACGAAATGCAACTTCTCTTTTTTTTCAGACTTGGTAAAATAAAAAAATCTGAATGCTTTCAGAGTTTTATATAGCATTAATTTAACATAATGTCTATTTAGCTACTTGTGTTATACAATGTCAAGCTTGTAATAAATAATTGTTCCTTATCCGCGATGTCATGATTTGACTGTCTTCTCGTTTGCGGTACACGCGTTATTTACATCTTCTCCAATTTCGAATATGTATATAATGAAAGATAATTCAGTAAAAGAAAATTTAACATTAAAATTAATTCCACCGCAAATTTTTCTTCGCATCGCGCGCAACACGATTCCACTTTTAATTCTAATTCTACTTGCTCTGTGAATCGGGACTCATCTTTGTGCCGCACCGAGCTGACAGGATAAGACCGCTCTTACATTTATCTGGTTTCGAGGATGCCCGCAACGGGATTTATAGTTAGACAGCGACGGCAGAGCGCGACGGAACGGTTCCCGCACTCTCCAGAGAAGGCATCCGCGCGCACGCTGAACCGATTCCCCGCGCTACGCCGTAAAACACTTGACCGCGGGATCGACCCGGTCCCACTTCAAAGGCGCCGCTATCACTAATCCATCGCACATGGCCCGCCGTGTGCAGCATCCTCGAGGAAAGTAGTCTCTCTTTCTCTCGCGTCCGCCGCGTTTCCCATTCCGACAGCGCTATTCACGGAGCCGGAGTGTTAATCATCAAGTCAAACGCTTCCTTTCCGCGCGCGTTAATTCGCTTTATTTCAGGTGTCATTAAAAATATTCGTAGTTCGCACGATCCGCCTGCATGAATGACATCCGACTGTTAAAACGGGATTCCGCCTGTAAAGTGTTAAGTGAGGCAATTTCGTTAAGTGGTTGCTATTACCGCGCACATATATGATTCATTCGGACAGTCTCGACTAGAAAACTCTCGCGTCTGACGTCGGCGGCGGCCGATCGACACGGCACGAAAATAAATTTCCGGAAAGTTTAGGAGCTAAGTAAAAACAGTCCGCTTGAAAATTACACGAGTAGTTCGCCCTCGCGTAGCCCCGCCATTCGTGATATCGTTTGCGGTTTCGATAAACTAATCGGCACCGTAGGAAATTGCATGCCTGCGTATCTTATCGTCCCGCCGGCTACGGGTAGTTCACATAACTTTTGTTTGTTTATCATCGCGACTTCACGCGTGATGCACGCCAACGAAGCGGGATGCGTGCACCCTCGTTTTCACGCGCCGTCGCGAGCAAGCTCCGCCGAGAAAAATTAACGTAATCCAACTACATCGACACTATCTCCGCGTTACAGCGAATAAAGATAATTTAACATCGCATACTTACAATTAATATAATTTTATAGTTAGATTAATATTTTTAATCAAATAAAATCAATAAGGAGCGTAAAGAGCCAAAATGCTAGATCTTCGTGCAAAGGTTATGATATATTCGTTAAAAATGTTTACAAACGTTTCGACTTGCCATCAGGCCTTCTTCAATGTACAAAATAAATAATATAAAGATCCGCTCGCAAAGATTAAATAATTAAAAGATGTGGAAGTCGTATTTGCAATCCTTTATAGTCCATATTGTTGTTCGTTAAAAAATTAGATAGGACTGCAATAGATGCAAGAATACAATAATAGTTAAAATAATTAAAATAAAAAAAGGTAAAATTAAGAAAAGCGATAAACGTACTTGTATTAATACATGATGGAGAAGCGTTCGCCCACGTAGAAGGAACGAGGTGGAAAAGTTAATACCGTATGTCTTTCCATGTTGACCTTGAATAACTTAGTGATCATAATTTGTTAGAGAAATTCCGAAATTCTGATTAATGGTAGGAAGGGAGAAACTAAAACTTTTTTAACCATTCCCTACATCTCTTCTATATATAAAGATTTTAATTCCATAGCTAGAACTTTCAACTTTCAATTAGCATGTTCAATCACGAACAATTTAAAATGTGTTATCAAAACAGAGAAAGACAAGTTAGATAAACTTTCACATTGCCAAGTTGTATATTTGATTCCGTGTCGTGATTGCAATATGACTTACGTTGGACAGACAAAACGACAGCTTAACACCAGAATGAAAGAACAAAAAAACGACGTTGTCATTCTGTCATTTCTAAACACAGAATTGATTCTTCCCATGATTTTGATTGGAATAATGTTAGGATATTAGACGGTAAATCCTCTTATCCGAAAAGACTCATTTCTGAAATGGTCTTTATTAAAAGACAAAATGCAGGGCTTAACAATCAAAACGACACGGATCGTTTACCTGGTGGCTATCTCCCGATTATTAATTTATTTCCTCCTCTACAAATTTCTTTCCCCTCCTTTTTTCCTCTACCAATTCTCTTTTTTACCCCCATCTTTCTCCTTCCCTACTGACCTCCCCCCCCCCCTTCTCCCTTCCTACTATCAATCGAAATTTCAGAATTTCTCTAACAAATTATGATCACTAAGTTATTCAAGGTCAATATGGAAAGACATACGGTATTAACTTTTCCACCTCGTTCCTTCTACGTGGGCGAACGCTTCTCCATCATGTATTAATACAAGTACGTTTATCGCTTTTCTTAATTTTACCTTTTTTATTTTAATTATTTTAACTATTATTGTATTCTTGCATCTATTGCAGTCCTATCTAATTTTTTAACGAACAACAATATGGACTATAAAGAATTGCAAATACGTCTTCCACATCTTTTAATTATTTAATCTTTGCGAGCGAATCTTTATATTACTTATTTTGTACATTGAAGAAGGCCTGATGGCAGGTCGAAATGTTTGTAAACATTTTTAACGAATATATCATAACCTTCGCACGGAGATCTAGCATTTTGGCTCTTTACGCTCCTTATTGATTTTATGTGATTTAACAATCACCAGAGCCTTATATTCTAATTAATATTAATATTTTAGTTATCATTTAGTTTTCAAGAAAATAATTTATTAACTCTAGTTTAAACACATTCACATTGATTTATTTACTCGAAGAAATTTTTGCATTTCACATCTTTTTGGCCATAATTTTGCAATATGTTTCCGGATTGTAAAATGACAACTTTTACGGCAGATCGAAGGAGACATATTTATATCAAAGTTTGCATTGATACGAACCATAAGGTGACGCGCGCTGGAAGCTGGCGCTGTCGTAGGCACGCCACGAGGACATCATCGCGACGTTTTGCGCGTAGAACGGTGCAGCGGCCGCGAGGGTTGAATGCGGATGCGCTGCGTGCGGATGTCCCGCATGCGGATGGCCAGGTCCAGCATGCGGCCCCATCGCCGTCGCGGTGCCGCTCGTGTGACCGGCGAGCGCGTGATGCGCCGCGTACGTCTCCACTCCGTGCTGCCAGGATGCCGTCTTCTCCCTTCACAGAATCAAATGTTTAATCCTCTCAGATTACAGATATTTTCTCCAATGAAAAATAATAAAAGCAATATTGCAACTCTGTGTAATTTTAATTAATTTTTTTTTTATGTTTCAGATTGTGCAAATCTAACGTTAGCTTTGAATAAAAGTTGATGTACCATGCGGGCGAGGGCGAAGTAGGGAAAGAATGATATTGTGCAGCCGTGGCGGATGGAATCGCCGGCCTGGACGAGGGAACGTAGACGGGCGCTTGGAGCTGCTGTCCGTGTTGCTGCTGCTGTTGTTGGGACTGTTGCTGGTAATCGGAACCTGCGCCGTACCCGCCACTTCCGCCCCCGTGGAACATCCTCCCCCAGAGCTACCACCACGGCATCTGCGAAAACGAAAGTGTCGAAAGTTGGTAAGATCATTTCTATATGAATATTGATTCTCAGCAATTCTGGCATATCGTTAAATTTTTATTACATATTATTGTATAATTAATTATCTTTGAAAGAGTAACGATAACAACCTTTTCGACTGCGTAATCTCTTTGATCTCGATGCCGACAGTACGAAATACAAATACGAGTGCGCGCGGCGCACAATTTGCGCGTTAAAGGGTTACCGCCGGCAATTCCATTTCGCTACCGCGGAAAGATATATCGCTGCGCAAATGCCGCTAATAATATGGAAGCGGTAATAATACATCCTGCAGCAAAGAGAGATAATGCTAATGGTTCCTTTAGCCGATAAACGACTGTACACATTGAGGTCTCGCCGAGCGTTATGTAGGGACGACGAGTAGACGCGGCGTGGGTCGTCCGTGAGATCAAGGATGGTCATGAAAAAATGCCGAGTCCCGTCATGGTCGCCGACGGGTCTCTCCCGTCTTGCCGGACCGTGCAAAGAAGCGTTCTCGTCCTCGTGCATGGGAAAACTAGAAGTCCTTCGACTTGCTCGATCGAGTAAGTAACGCGTAAAGTTTAGCGCGACACGAATGAGAAAATATTGACTGAAAATATATACAGTTCCAACTGCGATGCGAAGTAGTTTTCAACGATATTTCCGTGCCAATACGACGCGTGTATGTTTCGCTAATTCCTATTGATTTCTATTGATTTGTATGTTTCAATAGCAGCGTTTCTAAAATTTAATCGAACGTGCAGTATTTTTTATCACTGCAAAACGATGTAGGTCTTTTTTCTAATTTATTCTTTTCTAATTTTTCATATCATTGCAAACAGCATTGGGGGGGGGGGGGACAAAAATTGAGCGAATACATTGTAAATGTTTTACTCGCGATAATTGATAATTACGGTTTCCATCCCGTGTTAAGTCCGTTACGCGATATTTTACGAGGCAATATGGACTTTACGACGATATTTGCCATTACCGGTGCTATTTGCGGCGCGTCAGAAATTTATCTCGCGGTATTGTTAGAGAAACAAAAATAGCATATATAATGCGATACGTATCGGCGTTTCTCGCACATCGCGACCATTTCGGTGCGTGAGTACTGTACCGCCCACGAGTCTCATTGCCAAGATATGCGTTTCCTTAAGAATACGTGCAGCCTCGCCATATCTATGCATTCCATTTGAACGCGATGCACGGAACACGGTGCGTTTTGCATCGCGAAATTCAGAGAAACGAATGCACACTATCGGCCGGTAAACACGAAGTATACTCACAATCTTTTGTTTTAAGAAACTTTAGGAAAACAATTTATTTAATTATGTTATTTGCAAAAGAGTTATGGAATCGAAACGACTAAGTACATGAAACACAGCACGCACGCAAGTAAATCGACGAAATAAAAATACAATTTATATTAAAATTCTGTTTAAAATAATCTAGCTATTTGCAGAATATGCAACTTAACATATCTTAGCGATATTCCGCGGAGAGCAAACTCTCGGAATTAATAATGATATCGATACAACTGATTGAACAAAAGTATCCCGATATGCGGCGATATTTTTCAACATTTCTAGGTGTGAGATAGTCTCGACGACGGAATAGTAGATATACAATTCTCATACGCCTTGCCGCCCACGGACGTCCCATTGTCTGGGACGCGCGTTTTCCGAAGAAGCGAACCACGATCAGCGTGTTCCACCAGTCGGCCCTCCGCGATGAGCTCAGAAACTCCGAAGAGAGCGGAGGGCAGGATAATTTATAGTCACGTCCGACGTGCGGCTCGCGCGAAAGGAAAGATTCACCGAGATGCGTTCGCGCAAAACGAGAGAAAAGAGAAATGAACGGGAGAGAAATATCCTGCAAGTTCGTTCATTTACTTTTACTTTTAATTTATTATATCACGTTTTGTGAATTGTCTAAGAAATGTTGAAAAAAATGATTAAAGCATAAATTCTCTCGTATGTTCTCCATATTTTTTATCACGTACTATTTTAAATTAATGCCTCCGGTTGGCCAAGCTCCGAACACAAAGTTAAACGGCCGTCACTCCGTACGTCGAGAGTGGGGAGCTCGCGAACGGGAATAGAGGAAAGAGAGAAGAGAGCGCAAGCCTGAAAGGGGGAATCGACCACGGTACGCCGTAGTGGGGATCAAATGATAATACGATCGCGTCGTGTAGAGAGAAACGCGGTCCGACGAGAGAAGGGCATCGGCTGAGAAAGGGAGCCGGAGAAGGGAGAAGCGCAGACGCGTCTCCACCTTCGACGTCTGGACGCCGACCGTAGAATCAGAGATACCGATAGCGGCCATCGCGGCCACGAAGAGCCCTCCGTGTAGGCGGGTCCAAAACTTTCGTCGCGTATGCATGCACGCGTGTACGCTAGCCGACGCGTGTACCAGCGCGCTTAGGGGATGCACGCAATCGCAATAATCCGCTGCATGGCGAAGTAGATAGCGCCCGATCACGTCAGATTCGGTTTCAGGAGTATTATATTATTAAAAATCCGCTTACAACTTTATAAAGAAAGATGAAGCAGAAACATTGCAAATTTTCCAAATACAACAAATTCATTGTAGCATTAAATTTGTTTCTCACCTAGTAATTTCCGTCACATTTTTTATTCAAAAAGTATAATTCAAATCTATCAGAAGAATTAATTTTCTCTGGAACTTTTTCCGGATGCCTTGAATTGATTTATAAAATTTGGAAAGAGAAAGGCACGCGTTCTTTTCTCAGAAATAGAAATAATTTCTAAGGTAGAGCGTTAAGAACTAAATTTATAACGATGAAAAATGATACGAATGTCGTTGACAGCGTGTATGATCGATATTCGGAGAATTGAGAAAGTAAGCTATGAAGTTATGCTATTACAGATGCCGATAAACCAGTCAGAACCAGCACAGTATCCAGTGACAGTATTTCAATTACTGCTATAAATTAAACATCCAGTGCTCAATTACTGAGGTAGAAGTCGCAGCGTAGAGACTAGCAATTGCGACTAGAGATCCGCATGAATTCCGCTGCAGGTATGTGTAATTATATCAATATAAATAAACGGGTTGATTAGATAATAAGATTGGTTCAATCTGTTTATACGCAACATTTTTTTTTAAACATTTTTTTATTTTATATGAAATTTTGCGGAAACTATAGATTTGTAGTTTATGATATAAATCAGCTTTTAAAACTAACGATAATTATCGACGACGCCGGAAGTTAAAAGATTGAAACAGAATCGATTTTTAAATCTATCGTCTATCTTTACGATTTCTTTTTGAAATTATTATTGATTGGAAAATTAATTTTGAATCGTGCAGTTTAATTTAATTTATTTATTTACGGGAAATAAAATTTAATTATTTTTCCCTTTATAGATTATTTATGCAAAGCTATTGAAGCTATATATTTTTGTCTTAATAAGTATAAATTATCAATTTACTTGTATCAGAACAACGATCAAAAATGTAGATATATTATAAAATAACGCGTGGCAATTAGATACGTCATTTTATTAATACTTGAGTAAAACCTATCGATAGTGCTGCAATTCGCTGTTTTAACAATTTTGATTCTTTTTCGAGTTATAATATTGATTTTTCTAATTGGCCTTAATGACGTTATATTGCCGTTGCATTGTTTGACGAAGCGTAACAAGTGGCAACGCAGCTTATCTCAATTTGCGATAGAAAAACACGTATATCACACACGTACTATACAGCAGTAATAAAATTAGCATAACTTATCGACATCAGAGTAAGTTTGATATCTTGACAACGTTGTGGAAAAGCGCGCAGCCTTGTAAACGTGACAAAATCAATTTATCCCCGACGATGATAAGTGAAACGTAACGAATGTCGTTATCGATGACATGGTGATATAAGTATTAGATTATTTGTGTTAGTCATTAAAATAATTTAATGCACACAATTTTACTGAAATATCACAGATCATAATCAGTTTGATTTATATGATTGAAAATCCGAAATAAAAATATTAAATCTTAAAGGTTATAACTGCAAGAGTCTATGAATGCTTTTTTAAAAATAGAATATTTATAACAGAAGTATAAAATATATAGAGTAAATATTTATCTAATCTATTTATTTGAACTATATTTACTGCTTACTTCAAGTTGTTAAAATTTAATTCGAGATTGAGATATCACTAGAAAATTTAATTTATTTTTCTACAATTTTTTACAAAAATCCAAACGCAGTGATTAATTATCTTGTATTTTTACTATAATTTTTTAAGAAAATTTTAATAGATTTATATTTATAAAAATATCTCTTTTTTTTATATTTACTTATAGAATATGCTCTGATACCATTTAATCAATTAAATTTTAGACACCCGATCTGATAATATTAATAACATATGTCCGACTCACGAATATTATTTGCAATATTATATTCGTAGAATTCACGTTTTTGCTGTAAATTATAGAAATAATTTTACTCGCTAATCGATACACAATGAGAGTTTTTAAAATACCGTTATAATTTTTAATTTAATCTAGAATGATATATAAACTAAAGCTTCGAGATATCAGGTCTCCCGTCGGACACTTTATTATTTATTAAGCTGCGCGGCATAATCGGCGTGAAAGGCGGTGGGTATGTGTCACGCGATCCGATGAAAGCTAATTTATTATTCGCGCGTTGCGTGATCCTTCTCTGAACGTTTTTGCATCACGATTAACGCAACGTGTATAGCTGTTATTATAAAATTAAAATTGAGATCGGGATTGTGTGTAAAATAATATGGCGCTTTTAATTTTCATCAGCAATTGATAATCTATTTTTCATGAGAAGTTTCTTTTTCTTCAACAATTCTTTCTGGAAAAAATAGGCAGGGATAAACAGAGAATATTTTCTAAAGTGTTTTCTCACGTAGAAAACACAATTCTTTCTCCCCCCCCTCTCTCTCTTCTCTCTCTCTCTCTCTCTCTCTCTCTCTCTCTCTCTCTCT